TTCTAATCAAATAATCGAAAGAAAGCATGTAAATATAATCTTCTATTCCGTGATATTATTTTTTGATAATCACTTCTTAACTTCATCAATGGAGCCATCATTCTCATCCTCCTTTTGAGTTTGAACTAATTTTAATTATTGATCTTGGGCTATCTTAATTAGAAATTAATGTGATAAATTAAAATGCCATGTCATATTTTAATGGATGTCATGTCACATTAAAATTGGAAGAGTAATTTGACACCTAAGAGTTTTTGGAAAAATCACTACCCAATTAATATATAAGAGATTAGGCGATTGTTGTATTGAGTTCTGTTACAAACTTACAATTTATGGTCATACACGTTCGGGGAATGAGTAATCTCTCTGATAGAGACAATATTTAAAAATGGAATATGCATAGCTCAATTTTAAAAATGTTTCATCAAGAGAATAAATAGTAAGAGATATATTTATTTCCACCATTTGATGATCCTCAAAACAATGATGATGCAAGTGTACAAGTGCAAAAACAAAGCCAGCTACAATTGTTTATTCATTAAAACTCTACCAACTACAACTTTTGACAAATTAGTACAAAAGATAATAATATTTCTTGTACAGGATTATGTCCGAAATCGTGGTAAGGAGACGGGGTTATGGCACCAACATACTTTAAATTCGATCCATCTGCTACGCGAAACTAAAAACATATTGTTTTGGACATCCACACAAATATGGTCTCTTGCTTTCGGCCCATTTTTATATCCGGAGAATGGTCTATCCGTAGACTGCACCTCCCCAGAGATTAGTCTAGGTCCTTCCATATGCATAGGATTTACTCTCAATTATATATAAAAAAAAAAATTATGTGTATATAAAATGTAATTAGTGTAAGAAAGGGGCAAAATCGTAAAAAGGAAATGTGCGAGAGAGGAAGCAAAGCAACATTTTGTAGTTCTCCTGTCAACATCGGGTACAGAGAGGATCGATGCTCTTTTCAAACAATCTCATTTTCTTCTTCTAATTTTACAAAAAACTTTCTTTAAACAAAAACAGCAATAATTAGTGTCATAATCAGATTATCATGATCTTTAAGCTGAGATGTCAACAAGATTTTAAGGGGGGAAATAAAATTAAAATTAAGATGGTTAGACATCATAGTTTTATTAATCGTATGTTAACCAAATTTAAATCAAGAATTAGCCTCAACCAACATATCATTTAGGTGCCTCAACCTCCTTGGATTAGATTAATCCGGTTTAATCTAATGAAAGATGTATAAACATCCTCATAACCTTAAAACCAAAATACCATTTTTTTTTATCCCAACAAACAATGATATGTTTTGGTATGAATGAACAAAGAAAGTGAGAAGGGTTGTGTAAAGTGGTAAGAGGAGAGAGGAAGATAAAACTGAAACTTGTGTTGAGATCTTTGGACAATGATAATATTGCAAAATCTCAAGAGTAACTGTTTTATCAAAATAAAAATTACACACATTATTGTGTTTCTCATCTTTTTTGTTACTCTTTGATCACCTCCTGAATGTGTTGTGCATAACTTCTTCCTGGTGGAATGAATATTACATCTTCCCAACCCGAATTCCTCTCGCTCGTCTACATTTATTCAATTTCAGATTTTATTAGATTACCCGGGTTTTTTCGCGTTCATATTTTTCCGTTTCTTTAAACAAAGAAGAGTAGAGTGTACCTCCATTTTCCTCAAGACATCTTCCAGACTCCCAACCTGTAAAAGACAAGATTAGTTCCATGCCCAATGCAGCGGAATTTCTTTATAATACTTATCTATGTTATATCTTGATTCTTAATAAAGGTATATGCCACTTTGTTAAAACTTAACCTTGGAATTCATCAAACAACTCGTAGATATATGCAGGAAACTACAATCTGAATGTCGCTCTTTCTACATTTTTCTAAAATTTTCCCTTTCCCTCACTGTAGTTCCTCTGAATATATGCCAATAGTGCTAAAAATCACAAATGTTGCGAATGCAGCTCCTAGCTGTTCCCGCTTTTTAGTAAACCATATGTCTTTAACTTTAAGGTGTTCCTATCTTAAGTGGTATACTAAAATACAAGGCGAATCCAATACCATAATTTGTTGATCTCCTCTTGACGCTCTTGTATACTTCGAAAGTTCCCTCTCTATATCTTCCTGAAAGTGGTCACGGCAGAAATTGATTTTCAACAACAACGAAGAGAGATTTATTACTATTCTTTAATGCGCGAGAAGAAAACTAACCAACCTTACTGAAATATACAGGGCAGTAACGTTTATTTCTTTTCTTGACAACAAGAAGCTCAGACTGCAGAGGCCAATTACAAGAGATGGAAATCAAGAGACAGACCCAAAAAAAAAAAAACAGCAAAAACACCAAAGCATAAAGAATCTTAGTTCGTTTAGAGAAGCACAGAGAATATTTCAACAATTAAGACAGCTCTAAGACTAAAGGAAGGAGGCAATGCAAGAAAAAAAAAACCCTTCTCCATTAACATTTAATACATACACAAGGTATTACAATGCAGCTCTTCTATTTTAGTTTTATAGCAGATGAAATTGTAGCCAGCATCAAATATATTTATCCAAATTATTAGCTTCTGAGCAGTGATAAATGGCCAAAATATACAACCAAGCCAAGGGTTGATAACTTTTAGCAGAAAACTATGTAACCAATTTACCTGGAAAACCGGAACTCCATCAAATCCATTCTTATTACTCGAAGATTTGAGCTGGGACGCAAGGAAATATAGCTTTAGAATAAGATTGAAATGACAAACACCTAACTAGTAAATAACAGCTGGTCAGGAGAACTGTATGATAAAAGCATGAGCCAACCTCTAATGCATTCTTTATTTGGATTGGATCTGGCAAGAAGCGAAAAGAAATCCCCTCAACTTTTAACAAGTACACCTGTAAACAACAACATCCTCTTTAAATTTCTCGGAATGCTTTCAACTAACAACACATGAATGTAGCTACTAGGATCACGCATATAACGTACAATTTTCACTAAAATAGTTGTAAGTTCCAAGCCAAATATAGCGATGATAATCATGCAACCAAGTTTCCCCATCTTCGCATTCGTTCTTACTGTTTCTTGAGAGATTATACACTATTCAATCTCTCATTCATGAGTTCTTATTACGGCATTACCACATTGTAAACTACAAAATGATGCGAGACATGAAAAGGTAACTGATATTGAACTTCCGATCACATAAACTCGTAAGAAATGGAGAAATCGCCCCAGGAAATTTCTATTTCATACTGTTCCAACGTCTCTGACCATTTGAGTCAACCAATGGCTTCTACAATGACCTAAAGAAGTGATCATAGGTAATGGGAATTACCTGGTCCAGATTAATGGGAACAACCTTTGCATTTGTCTTCAATTCTCTTCTCCTAAGTCGCGCCTGAAGCACATTAGAGAATTACAAGCTCAGAAACTTTCCATTTTCAAAAACCCTTTTGAGAGGAGGGAGCAAAAAAAGCAAAACAAAGAGGAAACAAAAAACCTGAGCAAGAAAAGCTTCAGCATCCTCTTGACGGAAACAGAGCAAACCGATAGACTTGTCGCCGGTAGGATCCGAGATAAGAACGAATTCGTTATTGGTGTTGCTCACTGTAAACACCGACGTACCAGCGAGAGCTTTAGCGACATGAGATGGATTCAACGTCGTCGGAGTTCCAGACTTGGACTGCGAAACGGAGGCGAACGGCGGAGAAGGAGGAGAGAAACGTCGAGTGGTTAGGGTTTCGGCGAATCGTTTGGTGTCTTCGATACGGGCGGAGAGGTCGGAGGCGAATCGATTACAGTGGTGGTGAAGGAAAGAGGAGAAAGAGAGGAAAGGATTGGGTTTTATTGATGACTCCATTTTTTGGATTTGCAGAAAGAAAAGAAGAAGAAAATTGAAACCTTTTTCGTAACTATGAAGAGTGTGACCAAAAGCTACAGAGTCAGACTCAAACCATGTTTCATCTTATGGGTTTGTTTGGGCTTGACTCAATTTTTATTCGGCCTTTTAACAATTTTTTTGTAGTAAAGTAACAAAACCATGGTAACAAATTTGCTTTAGAACAAACTCTTTAAAACTTTATATAAGTTCATGTATCTTGTGAATGTAAAGCAAATTTGGTATTTTCAACTTCCACACCACTCTAAACACATGACTTACAAAAAAGCTTAGTCACTTAAAATACATGTAGATGACATTTTCCTTCAAAATGAATTCTCCCTATAAAATAGTAGATCGATCAAGTAAACAACTTAAAACTCAATACGTCAAAAAAAATGAGTTACGTTAATACTAAAACCCGAACCATGTTAGTGCTTGTTGTGACACTTTTAATGGTGATTGCATATCATGAGGGAGAAGCCATAGTGTGTTCACAGGTAAATATGTTCTTAGCACCATGTTTGCCTTATCTAAAAGCTGGAGGAGCTCCTTCTCCACAGTGCTGTGGCGGACTTAATAGCCTAAAAGCCGCTGCACCCGGGAAGCCCGATAAACAAGTAGCTTGTCAATGCTTGAAGAGTGCAGCTAATACAATCCCCGGAATCAATGATGACAATGCCAAACAACTCCCTGCTAAATGTGGTGTTGATTTGGGGGTTCCTTTCACTAAGACTGTGGACTGTAACAGGTACGCTATTGCAATTTCTTTCTGCTAATATGGTGAAACGTTTTTGTTCTTATAGATATATTGTGATGGATGGTAATAAAACGGCGTTTTGTAAACAGCATAAACTGAAAGAGGTGTGGTTACCAACGCAGTGCAGCTATAATTAAGTGAAGATCCTGAAAGAGCAAAAGCATTATGAAAAAAACAGTTGGATACTTTAGTATTAATCTTCTGATCATATACTTTGTAATTTATACATGCAATCATATAGTTCTTGCCAAATAAAATGTGGTATTCCCACATTTACATAATCCTCTTTCGTACTCATAGTCTCTTAGAACGCAGCTTCGAAAAGGTTATGAAATTAATCACAATAGAAAATGATTTTTGAACTATAGTAGATAGAGTAAAAAAAAAAGAGCTTAAGCAAATACTTGTAGTTGTAAAATATGAGTTTTACATTCTGAAAATGCCATTCTCTTTTATCACAAAAGTTAATTTACTGGGTTAAATTGTACGGGTCGAAAATGAAAATGTATCCATCATATTGAACAAACATTGAACCAAAGAGAAAATATTGTTCTTGGAAATACCTGAAAGATGGGCAAATGTTAATTTCAGTATTGAATTAAGCCCAAACTCTTCAACCAAGTGAGCATTTCCTCCAATCCTTCCCTTAGACTTCGAGGGTTATAACCCAATTCCAGCTTAGCCTTGTCACATGAGTATGACCATTGATGTCTAAGCACATTCACTGACTGCTCATTTGGCAAATATCACGGTATGAGATTATTACGCCAAAAAAAGATAATCTATAATAAATAACAATTAAATGCAATAGAAACTCACTGGAGGACTGATGACTGGAAGCTTTCCTGTAACCCGAGAAATTAGAACAGATAACCATCCGTACGCTTCGATTACCCATAACGGAATGCTAAAGCTTGGTTTTTTGGTTCCAGTAATGAGTGCAGCCATGTCAAAGACAAGCTTAAAAGAAGCATTTTCCCCGGCAAGCAAGTATCTTTCACCTAGCCTACCTTTTTCCATTGCAGCAATATGTCCCTCCACAACATCATCAACATGGCTGAAAGAGCATCTATCATTCCCATTTCCAATATATCCAGGTAATCTCCCATTAAAACGCTCGATAATCTATAAAAACAACAATTGCAGACAACAGAATTTCTGTCACTACGAGTTCTAAAACACATTTGGGCATGACAATTGACAAACATTCACTATCCAGTTCAGTAAAGGATCAGCAGGATATCTAACACACCACAGCAAGACACAAACATAAGGAACAGATCAAAGGAATGTAAAGAGAATCATACCAATTTAGCAAGCATATTGCTTGAAGTGAGCTTCCCTGGACCATAAATAACACCAGGATACAGCAAAATTATCGGCACACCTTCAGACGCAGCATTCAAAGCAATCTTATCAGCAGCAGCTTTTGATTTCTCATACTCCGTGCAGAAAAACTTCTCACTATGAACCTTTTTCTCAAGACCAG